CTTTGGACCTGTTTTTTTCTTTTTCTTTGTCAAGGGACTCCTCTCTAAGTTTGCCTTCTGTTTTTTATCCACGAGAAAAGACTTTCCACTAGCAGAGAACTTTCACGTGTGAATTTTGTCAAGTGCACGATGTAAACAAAACATGCAAATAACATGAAATTGCCACGAATATTCACCTAGAATATTTATTTACTAACTTTCATTTGAAACTACATTTTCCTAAACAAGTCGGACGCTTTTTGAGATTTAAAATTTTTTCTTTTTGTAAAATGTCCAATTTCAATCTAGTCCAATAAAAGAAAAAATGAAAATTTCGGCCTCTGAAGGTGGGAAGTAACCTTAGGGTGGAGTTGATATGCCAAGCTTCCAAACAAAGGCGCTGGCGGCAACGTTGATTAGTGATGAATTATCCCACCCAACTGTAGTCAAGCATGTGTGCTCCGGCAAAGCTAAATTTTCTTTTTTGCAAAAGAAGACCGCTTCTTGATGCTCTTTCAAACGTGTGCCAAACTGACGTTTGGTCTGTTCGATATACTCGTGATCACAGTCAACCACCTCATATGCCATGGTAAGTCCGTAGCTAAAAAATTTACTCAGGAGGGCTGACTTTCTATCATCTTTACTTGATTCGAAGGCTGAGGAGAGAAAATCGATAAGCACTAGTCATATCCCCCAACGTTGTCCAAAATTAGTAAAAATCTGATGCATAAGTCTGATAAGGATCTGTGAAATGTCTAGACCTAAAGCGACTGCAATTCGTATAACAGTTGTTTTTAGGTAGGGGAGTTGAAAAAACTCACTAGCCGTATGCAGCAGTTCGTTTATACGCTCAGTCGCTAAAATGTGAACCAAAATTAAAATATTGTGCGCAGTCTAGGAGCCTCCAAAACTATTCTTGGAATCGGTCTCCTGCTGTAACCTGAAATTTGCTCCAAAACTCAGTTTTTTTGTTTTCCTTAGAATTTGTAGCTTCGGGTATTTGATTTTACTATGGAAAAATAATTTTCCATTTATTCTCATTATTTTTACCTTTTTAAGCCATTTTAAAATTCCCGCTCTGGCTAATGGCTTGGTTACCATGGTAACGAGAATAGCATTTTCAAAATTTATCAGTTAACCCTACTAACCTTGGCGTTCTAGCAACCAAGCCAAACGGGCAGGAGCTAACGAGAGACACTTTACTTTTTCTTATTTGAATGGTTTGTCTGGGACAAAACGAATTAGAGGCAGTTTTAGTCCGGGTCTCAGTCGAATGTGANCGGGACAGTGCCCGGTCCAATACTGAGAGAATATTGACCGGCAATAGAGCATTTTGATTGGTTGATTTTAGTTATTGGCCCTCTGACTGCCCGAGTCGTGTAATAATATGACATTAACGACCGAGTTGTCTTCCATGCTATAGCATGCTATAGCATGCTATAGCATGGAAGACAGTAGTAGGCTAAAATTTATGGAGAGGCTATCTATCCTTGGTGGTGTATGCACCAGAGAGGCAGCACATGCAAAAGGCAGCAAACGATCGATGAAGTCTGATTTACAGGCTACGTAGAAGGAAAAGAGAGAGCATCAAGGGGAGCAACTTCTGAGGACTCGTCAGTTGGAAGCCCTTCAAGAAGCAGAAGGAGTAACATGAACCAGGAGGCATTTAAATTACTTTTAGACACTCCTGCAGACAAAATATGGACACTTGGGCCACTAGAATGGTTTCATAATTTAAAAAACTAAGCGTGATTGCTATTTGTAAGTTTAAAGGCTAGTTTCTCATTACTCAATAATTTTGTCTTCAAGAAAAGATATCTTGAGAACAATTTATCCGAATGATCTGAGATTTTCAGCATTTGTTCCTCTTGATCAGTTTTGTGTTATAAGCTGAGCAATTTTCCACATGAGTTATGTACTCAAAGTTATGAAGGAAACACTACTTCGATTTCCTATGTCAAATTTAATCGATCACCATTTGAAATGTTTTCAACATATCAGAAATCCATCTACTTACAACAATAAGCAACATGTATTCTTTGAATTGACACAAAAAACATTTTTTTTCATTAATTCCAGAAGGAGTTATCTTTTCTTAAGTAACCCTTAGTAGAACCCAGCAGGTGGCACAATAAAACGAGTGGTATCCTATTACAATTGACATGTGGAGTGTGAAATATTTTTTTTCATGATCTTCAAGTCATAAGCTTTCCAGGGATATACAGTTTGCCTAAGTTTTCAATTAAATCCTAGCCATGATAAAATGGTTGAAAATGGGCATTTTTTCAGGTTTACACCCGCCTTCCCTGCTACTCCCACCCCTCTTCTTTCCATGCTCCGCCCAGATTAGTATTATTAAGTGACAATGTAGTTTGAGGAAATTACATTTTATTTTGATTACCTTGTGCAAAGCCACGGTTATACGCAATCATTGGGCCTCAGGTTTTCCCTATAAGAGGGTCGATTTGATTGAATAAATTTACTTGCACTGTGAACTTTCGGCCCTCTTGACACTGTTCACAAAATAAATGTAAAGATAAAAGGTCCAGCTAAATTGAGGATTGTTTAGGACGCAGTTGACGTTAAACCACAGCTCAACTTTGTGTAAATAACCTTCCCTTTATTCTTAGCCAAATCTCAGAATATTTATGAAGAACTACTCTTGCACTCAGAAAATGTTTCTGCCTAAGTTTCCTATCAGCTACGGATAAGTAAGGAAAGCAAAGAAAAAAGATGAAGCAAAAAACAATAAAAACCACAGCAACAAGAAAACAAAAAACCCAATTGCTCATCTCTATCGATATGTCATTATTGTGACATAAAAACTCTAACTAAACTTTAAAGTTCTTTCACCAACTTTGCCTGGTAACCTCGTTAACGTCAATTTGTATTTTATTTTCATGTAATTTCCAGCTAACCTACTTATGAAAAGGAAATTTGGGCTTTATAAAATTATATCCTTACAGTGACTTGACGGTTTGATCGGGGCAGGCATTCCCATTGTAAAGTCTAAAGTTTACAGATTTAAAAGGAAGGTAAAATTTCCTTTCACACTATTTAAATAGGTTTTTTACTAATCTTAGTAAATACAGATATAAGTGTACACTTTTATCCGATTTTCCAAATATTAGTGTAGAGAAAACTACTGGCAGGGAAAAAACTCTTATTGGTATGCACCAGGTGTCTTAGCAGTAACTGATTGATCATCTTAACGGTTATCCTTGGACTTCGTTTGGTAAATAGCCGAAATATTCAAATTTGATAACAAATTTGACATATGAAATCATTCAAGTGACATTGTAGAAACTAGCACAGACTATCAATCACCGATATATCATATCCTTCAGTTTCCAAGCAAAGTTTATCGTCTGATAAAGAATTAGGTTGCTGTCGAGTTCGCCGGTCTCAACTACTGAAATAGTTTAAACGCAGGATGCTGGGCTAATAACAGCTGAGCTACTCAAATATTATACTGGACTTGCTTTGGAAGCGCTTATGAGGAAGTCATGATAACTTGACATTCGGGTTTTAAGCACGAGAGCCAGCTGAAGAAGGAATCACTATTTTCTTTCAGAAGAAATCTTTTCTTCACTATCGCTAACCGCATGATAAAAATCTTTCGCTCATAAAATTTATTGTTAAATAATGCCGAATGAAGTGTAGACAAAAACAGTTTAGTCCTTTGGTTAGAATATCACCGGTTATTGAGTGGGATCAATTTTTTTAAGCGGTCTTATTTATATCTTAAGTTACTTTTCTAAGACGCACCATTTTCGTCGACGGAGCTAAAAAAATTCCCTCCGTTCTAGGAAACAAAGCACTTTTGTATTTTGTCGGTATTGGCTCTGCTTATAATTTTCAAACATGCATAAAATAGTTATTGATATGGAAAATACATCCTATCAGTGGTACCTTAATCCAATGCAGGAGATGTAGAAGTTTAAAAAGTTCATCTTCAGCCTATAATAAAAAGCTTGAAACAGACTCTGGCTAATTAACTTGACAGTTAGGTGTCATTATGTGCCAGCTGAAGAGTAAAGAGATAGACGGAGGAGAATGCAGTAAAAACGTCTTCAGTACCGGGAAAGCAAGAAGTCTACGCAATTGAGTACAAATATCCCGCGATATTTTGAATGTATTTTTATGTTAACAGACTGTATGACAGGTCGGCTAGGCTTGTGTTGAAATTGTAACAGAGGAGAAAAGAGTTCTACTCAGAGACTTAAAAGAGTTCAAAGGGTCCTGATTGTTCTCCCCAGTCCATAGTGTTCTGATTTCCAGAGCCCGACGAGTAGACTGATGAGGCCGAAGTGTAACTATCAGCAATGTATGCATGTTCTTCCCCAAGAAATTTCCGTCGTGTCTCAAGCTCACGTTCATGCGATTGAAGGAGGGAAAGAAAGTCACCCAACTGATGCTGAATAACGCCAATTGAGGAGTAAATGTCGGCAATGCTTTAGTCTTTTTCTCCAAGTATTTTGCGTCGAATGTCAAGCTCACGTTGATGCGACTGAAGGGAGGAAGTAAAGTCCCCTAACTCGTGCTGCAAGACACCGATCGAATGGTAAATTTCAGCAATTCTTGAGTGTTCTTCTCCACGTAAGTTCTGTATTATGTCAAGCTCACGCTGACGAGACTGAAGAGAGGAGGTAAAGTCCCCTAACTCCCGCTGTAAGACGGCAATCGAATGGTAAATGTCAGCAATTCTTGGGTGCCCTTCTCCAAGTACTTTCCGTCTTATGTCGAGCTCACGCTGACGAGACTGAAGAGAGGAGGAAAAGTCCTTTAACTTCTGTTGTAAGACACCAATTGAGAAGAACATGTCCGCAATGCGTGAGTGTTCTTCTCCAAGTACCTTTTTCCTGATTCTGAGCTCTTGCTGTTGAGACTGGAGAGAGGAAGTGAAGTTCCCTAGCTCGTAGTGTAAGACACCAATTGAATGGTAGATGTCGGCAACTCTCTGGTGTTCTTCTCCAAGCAATTCCCTTGTTATGTCAAGCTGAAGCTGATGAGACTGAAGAGAGGATGGAAAGTCGCCTAGCTTTTTGTGTAAGACACCAATGAAATAGTAAAGCTCGGCAAATTTCGCCGATTGTTCTTCTCCAGGTAACATTCGTCTTAAGTCAAGCTCACGCTGATAAGACCGAAGAGAGGAGGGGAATTCCCCTAACTCGTACTGTAAGACACCAAGTGAATGGTAAATGTCGGCAATTCTCGGGAGTTCTTCTCCAAGTAACTTCCGTCTTATGTCAAGCTCATGCTGAAGAGACAGAATGGAGGACGCAGGGTCTCCTAACTTATACTTTAAGACACCAATTTTTTGGTAAGTGTCGGCAATT